GCCCACAGTATTCTGTCACTACCCAAATGCTTCTATTTTGGATTTTCAGGCTAAGGATGCTCACTCTATAATGATGAGCAAGGCAGGGCTTATCCGCCTCATCAGAGCTGACATCCTGGACTGAGAAATTCTTTGTCCTGGGGCTGTTCTGAGCATGACAAGGACTAAGCCCACCAGACTGCAAGGGAACATCCCCCTGCTGGGACTACCGGAACCAGCTGCACAAGTCACTAGCCGTCCACTAGGGGGCACGATCATGCCTGCTTGAGAACCACTGAGAGAGCAAGGGGTAACTTTCAGCTTCCTTCAACTTTGTTGGTACCCTGTCTTCTGGAATTCACCGCATTCCTGCCCTGGGGATCTTTCAAGACTTTGTTTCTGGTCCAGCTCCCAGCTAATGCACTCCAGCAGGCAGTGCAGGATGGGACACTGCCATCCATGTGGGAGACCCACAGAAGCTCCAGGCTCCTGACTTTGGTGTGGCCAGGTGCTGGCCACTGCAGCCATGTGGGGCGTGGGCCAGCAGCTAGAAGACTTCCTACCCATGCCCCCATCACTGCACAATGAAATAAATTTCTAAACAAACAAACAATGTCAAGGCAGTGGCAGCAGAACACTCTCTCCAGGCCGGGTTACGAGGTCTCAGCCCGTGAAGTGGGTCCCTGGAAGCAGCCATGCCTGGAGTTCTCCACAGCCTCTTCAAGCAACTGAGGCCTGCAAGCTGGGCTACACCACGGAGCCCAGCGGTCTTGGTTCCAAACTTTTCCTCCTCACAGATTTTTCACTAATATTCTCCATGCTTAGTGGGAAAAAAAAAAAGTTGTACTGAACAGTCTCAACTTTTTGAAATTTGTATTTTTTTTGCACCAGAAATGTAAGACACTGCAATTCGAATTAGAGCACCATGAGATCGCTTGTGCCTTACTGCACACAGTCATGAGAAGTTTATCATGTCTTGGCTAGGAAAGATATTAACGATGCTCTTCTGCCGCTGACGAACAGACACTGCTTTCTCCAGCATTGTCTCTGGCAGCACATCAATCCTGGGCCGCCCTCCTGTCTTCCGGCAAGCATTCTAACTCCAGGTGTGGGCAGCAGCGTTGCTCTCATCTTGGGTAACGTCCTGCTTATCACAGACCACAGTCTGAGCTGCCAAAATGTGTGCTGTTTAAAACAGACATCCAAATGGGGATATCTTGTATACCTTATAAAATCAAACAAAATTACATTATCTTAATAGGTTCAACAGGACTGCTGAACTTAAGATAAGGCTTTCTGACGGAGAACACCAGCTGAGGAATTTGCAGGGGTCATGAGTATTGCTTGCTTTGGAAGGAACAGCCCCCAATGAGCCAGGCCTTCCTCCCGTGGGCGGGCACAGCACAGTGGAGCAGCCCACACACAGAACCACTGTCTGGGCATGGCTGAGCGCCATGCTGACCTTGCAGTGGACCAGACATTTTAAATACACAAACCAAGAAATCAGACTCTGAACCAGCTGTTTACTTTTATGTCTCCTCTTTTCCTCCTCCAAGAAGGGGTGTAGCAAACCTCTGGCCAGAACATGTTGGCAGCCCACAAGCCCCACACAGCTCACTGGCTCTGGCTGCACCCCCTTTAAGCAATAACGTGCAAGTGGGAGCTTGGCAAGCAACTTCCAGGATAGAAAGGTGCCCCCCCGACCTTTTTTTAAAGATTTTTTTTAATTGGAAAGACAGATTTCTAGAGAAAAGGAGAGACAGAAATATCTTCCATTCACTGGTTTACTTGTCAAGTGGCCTCAATGACTGGAGTTGAGTTGATCTGAAGCCAGGAGCTTCTTCTGGGACTCCCACATGGAAGATGCACTAGGGAAAAATCTCCAGTTCCACATAAAGCTGATCTGCCTCCCTTTTAGCAGAGAACAGCATGGGGCTCAATTCTGCAAAAACTGTAAGACTTGGAAGGTTTATTTGATTCTAAGACAGGTGCAGTCACTTTCAAGAAGGCATTGTAAAGCATTCAGAAAGAAAGAAAAAAAGAGTGTGAGACACCTGTACTTAGTGCAGCTCTGAAGTCAGGAAACCTGGTACTTTTCTCACGCCGTCACCTCCCTAGTGAGGGCTACGGCATTTTGAGGGATACAGATGCTAAGACACAAGTTACCTAATATATGCACCCATGATAAGGATACCAAAAATACTGCTTAGTGCACAAACTGGAGGGCTCAAAAAGCCTCAGAGAAGAAAAAATTAATGGCTTTTGAGAACTTTGCCTCTCAAATAGAGACTCAACCCAAGATAGAAGACAAAAGGGTGGGAGTTTGGGGTTGTGATCAACACGCCTCATGGGAGGGTGTGGGGCTCCAGGGCTCACCTTCACTTACAGAGCAGGGTCACCTATGCAGGTGACGGATTTCGTGGTAATGTGGACACGGATTATCCAGAAGCAGCAACTCAGGAATTAGATTTTCTTTTTGAAGTGTCTACTTTCTGGGTTCTTTGCACCCTGTCTGATCACATCAAATTTAGAGCACCGAAGAACAGCACGGTGAAAACAAAGTAAGGAACTGGTGGGAAAATATCTTTGCCATCAAGTCCCTGCAGCACGGAGGTTTTCTGTTTCTGGAAGATGTTAGGAACATCTCAGGGAGAAAACAGACACAGAGGCTTCAAGTATTGCCTTCCTCCTTCCAAGACTGGAAATTTCCAATATGAATCAAGGAAAGTGGCTTGGAGGCCACTTCCTTCCTCATTGCTATGCTCTCTGCCCACACAGCAGAGAACCTGGGATGTGACATTGTCATGTAAAATCCCGGAAAGGCTCCAATTCCACTTAAGAATACCAAAGTCTTCTGGGGTTCAGAAAAATCAATAATGCGAGTCACAATGAATGAAACAGATTCTCCTTTAAATAAGTCATCAGGCCTAAGAAGCCATGTCTCCCCCCAGCTCAACAAAGGCCACTACAGCCCAGTCCTGTCACACAGTGCAGCCTGTACCTGCTGCTGCAGATGCAACCAGAACAAGTCACACTGCCCACAACACAGCTCAGCATGTTTGTGCTCCCCCAAGACAGCCAAGTTTAAATGGCCAAACAAAGCCCACAGCCAGCACCATCTCGACGGCCACCAGGCACAGATCCACTGGGAATGGCTGAGGCAGGCATACGCCTCACACATGTTGAAGGCAAGCTCACAGCTAAGAGGCGGCTAAGCCACTGTGATAGAGAACTTCTCTCCTCTTGCAACCTTCTCTGGGAAGCACTGGTCAAGCCCCTCCCCACACAGATTAGCAATGCTGAGCTGGGAGAAGGAGACGATTTGGTTCAAGTAAAATTCTGCTGAACCTCTGCACGGTGTCTGTGGAAATGCAGGTACTGCCAGACAACACAGCAAATTCTGGGGAAGATGTTCAAAAATGACCGTGCTGAGAGAAAGGGCTCCCAGCTCCCAGGGGTTCTGGTCTGAGCAGGAAGGTGAAGACCACAGTCTAGTGTGACGCACAGAGCCTGCATGAGACGGGAGAAGTCACGCACGGCCAACACCCCCCCCCACCTCATGCTCACTCAACCACCTCAGGAAGGCGCCCCTGGTCAGTCCTGCTTGACACCAGGAGAATGCAAAGAAACTGACCCTCCGCCCTTACGGGTGACGTGGATGGACAAGGCTGCTGTGGATCGTGTCTCCACATGAAAAATAACGTGACAAACAGAAAGTAAGGTCACTACCTGAGCTACCCATGACTGCAGAAGCAAGAGGAAGGCCAAGAGAAAAACAGACAGATGACTCCGAAGAACACGAGTGGGGCAGGCGAACTGTACCTGAGCAAATACGTTCTCAAAGGGTTTCCTTGGCCTGCTTGCACCCCGCAGGTTCCCGACCCAGATCCCCAGGAACAATGGTTTAATTCACACAGTCTATGTCCACAGACTAAGGAATGCCCAGACATCAGGGGGAAAGGCCAACACTGTGCTGGAAGCATGTGTGTGAGACATACCAAGGGAGGGAGAGAACAGAAGAGGTGAGCATGCAAGGCTGAGTGTGCCACATGGGCACAACCAGCTCCTGGTGGGCAGGCATCACAGGTGGGCTGCGAACCTGGCCTCAGCACACATGGAGGAGACACTGCCCTCTCTTTCAGACAGCACTGAACACACTAGACTCCTGCTTGGAGTGTCAGCTGAAGGCCCGGGGATTCTGTGATTATGCTACGGTCTCCATGTTGGTACTCTGACCTGTGGGACTGAACCTGGGAGACACACCAGTGCCTCTCTGGTCCTGGGGCCCTCCCACTGCTCACAATGACCACGGCCCAGTGCCTAGGGAATTCTTCCTATGCTTGCGTGCATTTTCAATCAAGGCTGTCTTACTAGAGGACGTCAAGTCCACAGATGCTACCTGGGAAACATAAGTTAACTCCAAGCTTTCTTTAACTGGCTTTTCCAATGACTAAATGCAGAATGTGACGCTTAACTAAACATTTTTAATAAAAACAGCGAAACAGTTACTTTAAAATTTGTAAAAACCAAACTGTTCATATACTTCACAAAACTTAGTATGGAAATGAAAGTGACATGTGCAAATAAGGCATCTGAGTTTTTTAACTAACGTTACTTATTTTGGCAACATTCCATTATTGCCCTTATTCTAACATGGAAAGTCAACAGTACATTTAATTACATAGGTGAGGTATTGGTATACAAACATATGTATAAAGAGAAACACATGTGAAACAACTGTACCAAATCCACCTTCAAGAGTAAAACAGACTACAGAAATATAAGAGAGTGATCACGCGAGGACAGCACACTGCCAAAGGTGTTTCTCTGTGTTTTTTCACAATATTATCAGATTATACTTAAGGGCTAAATGGATTTATAGATCTAGATATACACATATGTACACACACACATAAATAGAACCATCATGCAATTTAGTATTAAATAATGCCCAAAGAAGATACTTTGTAACTGCAACCAACAGAGCGCGTTAAGACTTGTGCAGCGTGAAGTCTACCTACCTGAGCCCATCTCTTTCTCCTCCTCTTCAATGTTGTTTCTGATGCTATCATACTCCTCGTCGATGGTCTGGTTCCCACGCATCTGAGATAAGATTCTTCGTGCCTTCTGAGTCTGTCCTTTCTGAATAAGCCAACGAGGACTTTCAGGCAAAAAGAGAAAGCCAAAAAACTGTAAAACTGCCGGAATTGCTGCAAGCCCCAACATGTACCTGCAATAAGAAACCCACATTTACTGCGACATTTTGGCTTCCCACCACTTGGTATGCACTCACACTTTCCTAAGAAGACCAAAGTACTACCACATATTAATGAATCATATGAATCAGAAAAAAATATTTTTATGCTATATGAGTAGGTATGAGTGTGCCATTCAGAGAGTTTTGTTCTGTACTAGTGAAAAGTAAAACTAAAAATCTGATATTTATCCATCTTACACACAAAGTACAGTGGCAAAGAATGGGCAGAAATCACAAAAATTATGCATATATTCCGACTCAAATGTATTGGGCAAAACACCACAGCGATTTTCCTGTTCACTACTAACAAATGACAGCTCTGTACGTTACAGTATATAGTACAGCACGGAAGAAATGCTCCCACAGGCTACTTTTCATGAACGTACGGGCCCTAGTTTCTTTCTGTAGAGATATTTCTGCTCTGTGAACAACTGCCTTAACCTTTGCCAGCAAATGTCATGTTTACTCTCAGTATGTGAGCAGTTGAGACTCCTGGCAGAAAGAGACATGTGAGGGGACCACAACTTTCAAGAAAACGACATGAAAAAGGCAAAAAAACAGCAGCAACAACAAAAACCCTGTCTCTAGGATCAGCCAGCCCCAGCCACCTTCTCTCATGGTTTGCTCATAGCTGCTGAAACTCCAGCCAGCAGACCAGCACAGCGTTTCACATTCCTAGGAGGAAAGGAACAACACAGAAATCCAGCATCGGAGCACAGGGACATGGACACTGAAGAGCTCCCCAAACTCCAGCACGCTCTCCAAACTCTGGGCCTCAGTGTGTTTTAACTGAAGGGGTTAATCGAGATGTCAAGGTCACCTTCAATGAAAACTTTCTTGCCTTTAGGACTCTGGGCAATGCCTGTTAATCCACCACAACAGAGCGAGGCCCAATTCTACTTACAGAACAAGGCACCTTTGTTAGTCCATCAAAGTCCCCAGATCGATAAAAGCAGCTACTTCAAAAGGTTCATGAAACACAGAAATAAAAGATGTCCATTCTAAGAAAAATTGACATCTGTATGTCATTGATTTGTAACATGCATTGCCCAAGAACTTTCTTTGAAGACCCGCTTACACATGGATTTCAAAATGTTTTGCAAAGAAACAACTTTTAATTCCATTTTCTATGAGCTGGTTGAATTTTATTGTACTTTTCAAAACAACACCATGCTAACAGCTATGAGAAATTCAGAGTACACAGGCCTGAAAGTGAACAGACATGAAGCTTATGAAGAGTCTACAGTTTCCAAGCAATCTCAACTCTAGAAACACAAAATATTTGTTACACAGGTGCTAAGAACCACCTCCTCTCACAGACAACACAGACCCAGCCACGGTACAGACACTGAGCCTAAAAGCAGACCCACGTGATGAATGACTGACACGCTGGACTCCTTTGGCCCCCAGCACTTGAAGAAACCCTAGCGACAGGTGCCTCACACCTGAATCCCTGCTTGTGACCAGTGTCCCGATACTTCCTCTGCACACACACCCAACAGATTTTCTTTTTTTCAATGATTTATTTATTTTTATTGGAAAGGCAGATTTACAGAGACAGAAAGACAGAGAAGAAGATCTTCAATCTGACTCTCTCCCCAAGTGGCCACAACAGCCAGAGCTGGAGCCGGGAGTTTCTTCCAGGTCTCCCACGTGGGTGCAGGGTCCCAAGGCTTTGGGCTGTCCTTGACTGCTTTCCCAGGCCACAAGCAGGGAGCTGGATGGGAAGTGGGGCTGCCGGGGTTAGAACCAGCGACCATATGGGATCCCTGCTTACGCAAAGTGAAGACTTCAGCCACTAGACTATCATGTGGGGCCAATACATAGTTTTTCATGTCAATTAAACTATTCTTTTCTTTATTTGGCCTCATTTTATGCCACTGCTTCTTCAACCAATTATGCCCCTGTCCACCCAGCAGCATGCAGTAATACAGCTTACGCATGGTCAGCATTTGGCAAGTGCTTTGCCATACGAAAGCAGCTGTACTGGCACCAAGGCTTCCATCGTCAGCTCGACAGGAGATAACTGTGTCAGACCCTAAGGCTGGCTCCTCCCTGGATACTTCTCTGGAAGACTTAGCTAGAGTGACTCCTTACACAGCAAGTCATTCCAACCAAGCCACATGTTCTCCCAGACAGGAAATCTGCTCTTTGGGAAAAGTTCAATAGAGGGCAAGACCCACTGGCACAAATGCAAACCCATGACCTCTTCTTTAGAATATACACTCAGCTACAGCCAAGTCAGTTATTTAGTGTATCTGTTGCTGTAAATGAAAACCTCAAGCTGTGTTCTCTCTTAAAGAATTTAAAACACATGGTTGTCCAACACTGCTGATCATTCAAAGGAAAGTGACGTAAAAAGGCACACTGAACATGGCAGACTGGGAAACAAACAGGAAGAATGCTGAAGACGGATGCTGTGTGTCTCATCTCTCCACATCTTTCACAACCTTCCTTTGTAGAGTTCAGAGACGAAGCACTTCACACAGCACTCAAGCACAGAGACGGAATCCTTCCCAGACCAGAGATGCTCATGTTAACGCTCATTTATGCCAGCTCTTACATTCCAGAAGCAGCATCTTACGAAATAAAGGAAAACAGATAACAAGAATCAAAGGGGAAGTGGAAATCTACTCACTGACCTCTGTTTCTTAAGGGAGCCCCAGCTGACAACCTCAGCTGTTCAGGCTTCAAAACTAGGGGTCGGATCTGACATTTACAACTCAATGATCTCTAAGAAGAGGAAAGGAAATGAAAACCCCCAGTCCTCCAGGATGCTAAAGCCCCTTTCCAGAAACCAAACAAGGAAAGTGCAAATTACACCTCTCCTCTGTAAGTAAACAAAGCAGCTTCTTACTGTGTTTTAATTAAATATTTTAATAGTACAGGGAAGAAGAGAGTAGGATGATATATTCAAGGTCTTAAAAAATATTTTTTCCAACCAAGAATATTATATCCAGTGAATATATGCCCTGAAAGTAAAGGAGAAGTAGGCCAAAGGTGACCAAATTTACCACCATCAACTCATTACGGCCTACAAAGATCTGTATGTGGATCAACTGCAAAACCCCCAATGAAACGACTAAACTCGTGGACACACATAACCCAACGAGACAACATCCAGAAGACGCGGCCAACTGGGGCTGACAAGGAACAGGACTACAGCAGCAAGCCAAAGTCCGCCATGAAGGAACAGGCAGCACCTGGTGGCTTGAATACTGAACTTGACAAGTCATTCTAAGAGCATAAAATTCTGCTACTTTTCAACGACTCCAAAATACTGAACAGGTTAGAACTAGGCCACCATCACTTTGACAACAAAATCAAGCAAAGGCAAGAGAAATGAAAATCTATAACCTTCATCAACATCACTCCAAAGATTCTCAACTATAATACTAACAAGTTGAATCCAAAATGGAGATTTAAAAAAAAAAAAAAACTAGAAATAGACTTGCCATATGATCTAGCAAGCCTACTAGATATACTGGCCGTATACCCAAAAGACATTGCATCGAAAAGACACCTGTACCCCACCATATTTACAGCAGCACTGTTCACAAAAGCCACATCTGGAATCAATTAGAGTGTCCATCAACAGATGCATGATAGAAGAAAATGGTGAATTACACGCCATGGAATAATGCTCAGCTAGAAAGAATGAAACTCTACCATGTGCAGCCAAATGGACTACACTGGAGGATACAACAGTGAATGAAAGAAGCTAGACCCTTACGGACAAATACCAAATGTTCTCTATCTTACATGAAAGTGAAAGCGGAAACTAAACACACACACACACACACACAACAAAACAAAAAATGAAGAAATGCCTATGTATTGCTACAACGGTTTTATGAAACTTTTCTACAATTTTGTCAAATTGGTGGTACAAAGTGTTTATGCTTGTATGGTTTTAATGATCTGCCATTACTTTAAAATTTACCATATTCGGGTGAAACGGACATTCTTTTACACAATTATTGTTTTGCCACTGTCTGCCCCACTAAACTAATGTCTTTCTGGTTTTTACTTTTGAAACATCTTATTTGGTGAAGCACTACGCTTTTTCACTATACTTTACATCTAAAAGACATTATCTCAAAAACAGGGAAAAAGGGAGGGATATCCCCATATCGTTAGAATGATTATCTATGAACTGAATTATCAAAAATTTTTAAAATTTCAAAAGACTGTACAATTCAATAAATTACTACGTCTGTAAATAAACACATTATGTTTTCCCAGGACTAACCCTGGAGGTTTGTAGGAACCCAGCATCCCAGAGCAGGTGGCAGTGACCTGTGATGGAGAGAACCAAGCCAGAAAAATGGGCCTCATCCTGGCTCTGGCCAACACACACAGTCCAGTGTGAGGTACACACCTCTGCATGTGCAGGTGACGGCACCTGCTTCCTGGAGCAACTGGAGGAACAGCCAAAATCATTCAGCTCTACCCAACAGAGGAGCCTCTCCAGCCAAGGAGGGTTCCCTGCCCTGAACTCCTAACCACACCATCCATTTACATCCCTTCTCAGTCATGTGATCAGCAGCCAGAACTGCTTTCTCTTTCGCAGGATTCCTTCCAGGATGTGCAGCCCACAGAACAGCAAGGATAGCAAGGATAGACAAGGGCAAGCACAACTGGTGCACCAAGGGAACACAGCAGGAGTTCCACACTGTACCAAGGCCTAACCCCAGGCAGCTAAGCCAAGGCAACCAAGACTCAAGTGAAAGACCTGGAGCGACATGATCCGGTAGGATGGCCAGTCCCCTATTGATCTGATTATCCCAGGTTGAATCAAGGGTGCTGCACCCTGGTTCCCATCAGATATCCTGAGCATGCTGAAAAAATACACCAGTGCCCAGCTCCACCTGCCCCCCGCCCCCCGAGACTGTGATTAATAGCTCTGGGCTCAGGGCCTGGGAAATTCTATTTTATTAAAAGCTCCCCAGCTGGTGCTAATGTGCAGTAGT